CTCGATCCCAGGACCCTGGGATCATGACCTGAGCCAAAGGCAGATGCTTAATGACTGAGCCACCCAGGTGCCCCAAGAATTCAGTATTTTGATACTAAGAGTATTATTTTTGTATTGATATTAATTGGGTATGTAAGCAAGAGAAATGAAAACATATGGCCACACAAAAATTTGTACATGAATGTTCACAGCAGCATTACTCATAATAGCCAAAAAATGGAAACAACCCAAATATCCATCAACTGATGAATAAAATAAAATGTGGCATAAACCATACAATGGAACATTGCTCAGCAACCAAAAGGGACGAAGTACTGATAGATGCTACAATTAGATGAACCTTGAAAATATGATGCTAAGGCGGGGCACCTGGGTGGCTCAGTTGTTAAGTGTCTGCCTTCAGCTCAGGTCATGATCCCGGGGTCCTGGGATCGAGCCCCACATCGAGCCCCACATCAGGCTCCCTGCTCAGCAGGAAGCCTGCTTCTCCCTCTCCCGCTCCCCCCTGCTTGTGTTCCCTCTCTCGCTGTCAAATAAATAAAATCTTAAAAAAAAAGAAAATATGATGCTAAGGTGAAAGAAGGGAGTCATAAAGGACCACGCGTTATATGATTTCGTTTATATAAAATATGCCAAATAGGCAAATCTATAGAGACAGGGAGTAAATTAGTGGTTGCCAGGAGCAGAGGTAAATAAAATCTTTTAAAAAAATAAAATAACACTATTCAAAAACAGTTCCATTAGTAAGGAAGAAGGGTAGACTGAATATCAGGTAGGCAACTAGCAGTTTTTGCCACAGTTAATCTCCAAATCTTTAATAAAGAACTCCTAAAAATCAATTAAAAATTAATGACTTTGCAGGAACATGAAAAACAATTTGAAACGATTTTTTCAAAGTAAACTCTACACCCAATGTGGGGCTCGAACTCACAACCCTGAGATCAAGAGTCTCATGCTTTACTGACTGAGCCAGCCAGGTGCCCCACTGTTGACAATTTTTTAAGGTTAATATCCATCAATAGGGAACAGTTAAAAATTACCATATAGCCATATAATGGAAGGCTAGACAACTATCAAAAAGAAAGAGGTAGGTCTATGTTTAGTGATATGAAAGATGTCCAAGACATATTATTAAATGAAAATAATCCAGTTGGTGAGCAGTGTGTATGATTGATAGCATTTTTGGTTTTTTGTGTGTTTTTTTTAAAGATTTTTATTTATTTATTTGACAGAGAGAGACACTGCGAGAGAGGGAACACAGGCAGGGGGGAGTGGGAGAGGAAGAAGTACCCCGGCATTTTTGTTTTTAAAAAATCTATACCTTGGGGGGCGCCTGGGTGGCTCAGTCATTAAGTGTCTGCCTTCGGCTCAGGTCATGATCCCAGGGTCCTGGGATCGAGTCCCACATCGGGCTCCCTGCTC